CACTGTAGGGAAGAATACTTGAACCCATTTGACTGAATGGGAGGTGTTGCATCAAGGCAAATATCCATAGGCGATAGTCCTTGATTGCCTCTTTGAGCCCTGTCCAAATTGTAGTTTGGGATTGTTGGTCAACAGTATCGCTGACAATGCGACGGTGAGCAAGCTCGCGTTCCTTCAGAGTCAGCCATCTGGTATTTAGTGGGTCATCTGGGAGTGTGAATGCTGATCCAAAAGCAACCAGAAAGGTGGTGATTCCTAGTAAAATGAAGAGCCACTGCCATCCTTTGATGCCAGACCGCCCATCCATTCCTGCAAATATCCCGGCAGCGATTAAACCAGCAAATGCGGTGGCTAGTATGTTACCAGTGTAAAGGATGCAAATCCGGGTAGCAATCTCCTTACGTGTATAGAAGATTGATAGCAAATATAGCGCACCAGGATAATACGGAGCCTCCAGGACACCAAGAAAGAAGCGTGTTAGTAAAAGCCCTTTGAAATCCTTTGCTAAAGCTGTCAGGCCAGAAGCAATGGCCCAGAGAGCCATGAAGAATGATATGTAATACGATGGCTTAGTCCGTGTGAGGTACATGTTCGAAGGTATCTGCCCAATCAAGTATCCCACGGTGAGGATAGAAATGCATGTGTTGTATTCTGGGAAAATCTGTGAGCAAATGATACAATAAAATGGAACTAGCTGTCTTACCGCTCCCCTTGAGATTGAGATCCTGCTCGAGATCATCTACGCGGGCGAGGGCTATCGCGCGGCAACGTAAGTCTGAGTTCTACCAGGGGCGATCTATCGTCCAAACCCTCTTGCTTCTGAGCTTGATACTAAGGATCAAAAAACTTGCCAATTGCGTTTCGATCGAGGTAGTTAAGCCAGTACATAACCCAAAGAGTTGGCTGAGATGTAAGATATATTAGCAGTTTTGTGTGTTGTAGCCAAGATATGTGTTTATTACCATTATCCATTTGTCTAGTTTCCTGACAAGATCGACTTCATCCTGGTTTGATGTTGTTCTTGCGCCAGAATAGTCGATATTGATGATTTCCAATTCATGTATAAGGGTATTATCGGCAATATACCCTTGTTGCCCTCTCGAGGACCCTTTCTCAACGTCTGCGTCTTTTGCCATCTCAAAAAAAAAAAAAAAAATAAAAATAAAAATAAATAAAAATAAAAATAAAAGGATGTAACTTATTTTGATAGGAACAAAGTTTCATGAATTCAATAGCCGACAGGATTGCTCAAAGATTTGGCGATTCCAGGAATATGTAGGCATATTCAGCCCATAAAAGCCCTGAATGAATGCTCGTCACTTATCGTTTGCCCTCCGGGCACTCCATAAGTATGAATGCATTTTGCATAAGAACATAAGAGAATAGGACACAAAAATATAATATTTCCATTACGGAACGAACAAATGTTTGCAGAAATCATAATTGGAACGCATTAAACTTCACCGTGATAGAGATTGGAGTTAAGCTGTTGACGGATGGAGTGTGAGGAGTCTGGAACACAATTGATTTGAACCGACGGCTAGAATGAGTGTAGTGTAATTAGTGCTAGAACAGTTTTTGTCACACATAAAAAGTGGCACAACGAGAGATATTCCTAATTCGACAGAGCCACGGAAACAAATCGTCCGGAAAATAGCGTCAATGCAGGCAACCAAGAATATGTCCTAAGTAATAAATTTCGTGTTTCTGTGGCACCAGTTGTGAGGATAAAGCGTGGCCGAATTTTCTGGAAGGTCTTTGAGCCATGAAAGTATATGTAAGGTGATTTTCGCCTTGTGGTAGGTAGGGTAGATAGAGCATGCCAAATTGTATTAGAGAAGCATCCGAGCGCGGATGGTTCTAGGTCCATCCGCGTACATCCGGCGTTTCTTTTCTGACTTGGAAACAATTTCATTACTATATCTTCGTAACCAACTGGAGGGACCAGAGAACATCTGATGCAAGCTTGGGAGTGAAGTTTGGTATATCCAGCCTGCCACAATTCATTGGAAAGTGAACCGCTGCGCACATCGGAAAGGCTTCCGAATATGCTACGCACCTGTGGAACGCATGGGAAGTTGCCAAAATAGGTGACACCCAAAGTGATATTGTCATAATATCATTCCCATGAGCCCCTGTGCGCAATGAGAGAATTGTTGACAGATTGCTTTGAGGGCTGTCCAGGGTGAATGTTAATGGACTGTTGTTGTTCTACACTGATGTTTCGTGGCAGATGCAGAGCGAATCGGTTAGCTATGATCCCTTTACGTTCACCAAGGGGGTGGGATTGTCAGGGGCGTGGGCGCTGACAGAAATTTTTCGCCATTGGAAGAGTAGATTCAGAAATAGCACAATGAGTGAATGGTGTAATCCCTTGCGGGAAATTTGCTGCAGCTGCCTGTTTCGTACGTCAACACGACATCTTGGATATAAGACCAGGAATATTGCTAATCAATAACGAGGTTTCGGTTCTAAGATATTTGAATCGTGGATTGATGCAGCCCTCGTTTGGCTCACGGGGGGCTGGGCCTGCTATCGATTTCATTCCTAGACCAAGGTAAAAGCCGAAATGGTATAGATAAGTTTTCGGAGGCTGCGGGGTGGGCCTGATATCGAAATGATCCTTGCCAAATGGCATAGTAAAATGAAGCATTGGCAACAACGCTTGAGCAGACAATTTCAATGGATGCCCACTGCAGTCTCGCCAAATTATAGTTCCTCCCGTTAGCATCTGATACGTTCTAATGTCCAATTCTCCGAACAGATGGAATACGTACTAGAGAACGTGTTGACTGAGCCACCGATTGACTCAATATAAGAGGCAGCCGCGTAACCGTAATTGCAACAACCAATATTCCGACTAGGAACAAAAGGGTTAATTGCAACTTTCTATACAGGAATTAGAAAAATTAAACGATATTGGAGTTCTTCAATAGGTCATGAACTTCAGTACCTACGCTTGAAAATCAAGGGATGTCATTCTCCAGAGCATTGGGATGGGGAAAAGAATCAAAGCAAGATCGGTTGCGATATTCAAGGTGCCCATTGTGAGCAAATCAGCCATGCCTTTCCGACATGGATCTAAATTGGGGTAACAGGTTTAGATATGACCTAAAATGGGCCAGGTCCGATGATGTCAATTTCGAGTCCACTTACGGTGCAGGTGTTCATGACTCCAAAACCTACATGGAAGCTATTATCAGTATGGTTTATCCAATAATTGAGAGAGTGGACGTCTTACATGTACAATGGCTGACATTCAAACAATGTCGCTACCAGGGTAGCAAAGAAAGTTGACACAATGAAAGCCCGCAGGAACTGGAGAGAGTAATGGACTTTGTTGGATCCAGTTTCCAGTCTCTTGTAGAATCGTAGCAAGCAAAGTTTCATGGACCAGAGACTGAAATAAGACAAACATTAGAGGATATAAATAGAATTTAAACCATCTTTCCACTTACTAATATCTTGCCCAGGTCCAGTAAATTCAATATCCAGCTAGATGAAGAGGAAGGGAAAGAAAACTCACAAAAGAGCATAGAATACGCGACCGACCAAGAGGAGTTTTTGTGATAACGCTTGGTCATCTCTTGACGGAGAGAGTCTCAGACCAAAAACCCTGATCATAGCAACAGTACGACATATGAGGGGGAATAATGCGAATGCCATCCAGCTATCGTCGGGGCCCCATGATCGATTTGAAGACTTGATCATATCGCACTTTGCGAGCAATCGGTAGCCACATCGAAATAGAATTTGAAGAGAACTGAGCACAACACAAACGACTATCTGTGTGGCTTCTGAAGTCCATCTCATTGACGTTGCTGGAAAGAGGCTCGAGAAGCAAGAAAAACTGATATCTGGCTCTGTGCATTGCCTTGGACAAGCTTCAGTTCAGCACCCAACAACTCGAGAATGAATGAATAATGGATATCTGAGTACGCAAAACAGGGCACATCGGAAACAGAAAATGGTTGGATTTTTCAAGAGCTGGAGTTTTCTATTGTTTTTTCAACCCGGGTATAGCCCTGCACTTAGTGTATTCGTTTCCACAAAGGCAGAACAGAAACGCGATTGGTAATCGGCAGGTTGTCAATAGTCACTTCATACAGTACTCATGTCAAAAACAATGGTGGTGAATTTTCTCCCTTTAAAGGTCCCGCGACAGTTTCGGTTGAACATCCTGGAGGACACCCAACGAGTTGCCATCTCTCAAACAAGTCTTCGTTCAATGGGTTCAGGGGTTGGAGACAATTTTAGATTACTCCCGCAAAGCAAAGTACAGGCGCATATAAAATGTGCTGCCACATCCCGAACTTGAGCACGAAACGTTGTAATGTCGCGAGGAACAACTCCGAAGCTGCATTGGAGGGTTGCTGTCCAACATGGCTGGCTGCCGAAGGATGTTGTTATATTGTGGTGCAAAACCAGGGTTCACCGTAGAAAAACACTGCGTATTGGCGCATGTTCAAATCCGTGTATATTCAATACGACACGCCAACTCGGTGATCGCCATCAAATGAGATTATATGTTTTGAGAGAACAAAACAGCTAGAAGTTTACATTGTACTCGTGTTACTTACCAGTCGGCAAAGCCCCAAACACTTTGGGCCCAAACACTTTGGGTGGGTTTAGGGGCTTGATATCTAAAACTGAGCTAGGCATCAAGACCCCATAATCTATGGTGTAAGGACCAGGTTTATTTGGGTTTGAGTATTGAGGTTTCCATTTAAATTTTCTAGTGCGTGCAAAGACTTGTGTTCTTACGCCTCTCTCTATTCTATATATCATATGCAGAACTTCTTTCCAGGTGAACATACAGTGTATGATAATGAAACTGTTATAACATTCGAGGCGGCTCTTACACAATACCGCACACCATTTCAACTACACGCAGGTATTCCAGTATTTTCATTGATTCACTTAAATATTAGTGCCGCTAACTCAAGATTATCCTGACGTGAATGCTAAATTTGTGTATGATTGATACCAATCTCTATATCAACCTACGCGGCGTTTCCAAGAACACCGCACGAGGCAGATATTTCTATATCCGCGTATGTAGCGTAAAGGTGGACACGCATGCAATACGCCCCAAAACAAAAACATTGGGCCAAATCGCTGTAGGACCCACGGACAACCCTTCTGGGATGGCTTCTGTACCCGAGCGGACGAAGCCAATGGAGTGAGCATGCAAGGAGCCCCTGCTGTTGCTTCGCAAGAAGGATTATTTCATGGTCCGTCCCCTCACAAAGCCGTAACGTTGCTGCACATCCAAGACATGACAAAAATGCCACTCGCCACCACGCCAATCCTACTATACTAATTTCGAGCCTCAGACAGTACTATGACCAGGCAAAAACCGGCCCAATCGTGCGAGATGCGGATGACACTGATTGCGCAATGCCATGTAGCCAGCAATGATGGATGTGGTGAACAATTGTTCAGCAGAATAATGGATGTTGGGAGCGTGAAGGTTCTTGATAAGACCTGCAAGAATAGCACTACAACAACCGACATCCACACAAAATGCCATGGCTTGCACTGGTGGTAGAGATGTAGGTGGACTTGACGAGATGAAAGGCACCAGCGCATAGGCGAGAGGGAATATCGGGAATTGTACCCATGCCAATGATCCCTATAATCTATAATCGATGTTGCGAGGCCTACACTTTGTAGTAGCATTCCAGAGCCTCCTGTGAAAATGAACAGAAAATTTCTGCGGTGGGCTCGAGAGATCTGCCGTATCTAGCGTGGTGTGGACAGATAAAGAAGCCAGCAATTGTTAAATACTCTATGGGGTAGAAATTTTCGGGCTAGAATCCACAAGTCCAGTCGGTTCGTTTCTCCTTTTTCCCCAACTCACGCCATCTGGAAATCGAAAAATGCTTGCGCCAATGGCGTCCACAAAACGTTCGACGCCCTGATTCTGCAAGACGGGAGTACGCCCCTATGCTGGCGTGTATTGTTCATACTCTCCTCAGGTTCATATTCATGAGTATTTTCCGCTAGATCTTTAGGCAAATCCACAGAACATTCTGAATCTTGGAAATCAGGCCTGGAATATTGATATGAAGGATGAGAAGAAGCCCAGTGGCCGGGAGATTACCCCCAGGAGCTGGCATATGAGCCCTAGCTTTCGCCGACTTTGTGCTAGAGTAATCGTTCCTTCTGGGCAAGGTTGCGTACCCCTTCAACATGGTTCAGGTAGATCTGTTTCCCCTTGTTGGGAAAATCGCCTGTGAAGCATATGTCGAAGAATTTCTGAAGCATGGGGTAGTACATGCCGGCTGCCCAGCTGTAGTTGGAAGTGAGCCGATGTTCCAGATCGGTGGCACGCCACCAGATACTTTTCATGACGGAGGTATTCCATGAATCAACGCCCCGAGTGATGAGGAGAGCTTTGGCGTTTGAATGTGCCTCCATGAGCTCCTTTGCCAAGGCGCAGGCAGGTCAGTCGCAGACAGCTTGTATGTTGAATTACCTGAGTTTTCGATATCGTGTATCTATGGCCCTGG